TATGCACTCACCACCTGTCTCCTTTCCAATCGTCAGCCTCCAGTATGTCCATGCTGTCCATGACAAGAGGACCCTATTTTTAGGAGCTCTGGTAGCATAGTGCCTAAGGCACTTGACTGCTAACCAGAAGGCTGGCAGTTCAAACCCACCAGCCACTCCTCGTAAGGAAAATGGGGCAATCTACTTCCATAGTGATACTGCCTCAGAAACCCAAGGAGGGTTCACTATGAGTCGGGGCCAACTCAACGGCACATAACAACAACAACAACAACTGGAATCTGAACAAGAATATTGTCACTTTAAATATTCAAAATGGCTACTGCTTGAAATATTCAAAATGGCTACATCCTCCAGACAGCCAGAAGTCCACAGCTCAGTACGTGTCCTTCTTTGCTGTTTCTCTTTTTAGTCATCAGTCACCAGTGCAGTCATCTATGCAGCCCTTGGTGAGTAGGGCCAATTTTTAGGTTAATTCTCAGGTCCTAACATCACTTGGAAATATTCAAACTGTCTGTGCCTTCAGGATAGCTGACAATCTGCAGCTCTATTTGTCTCCTTATTCAGTGTTTTCATGCAGTTTCTTCTACTAGTTGATGTTTAACTCACTTCTGTATACTTCTTTTCAAAGCTCAGGGCTCCAGAATTATCGTCTGTATCTGTGTCGATTGGTTTCTCTTTTCTTTGTTGAAGAGAGTCTGTGTAGCTTGTCTGCCTATTCCACCATCTTATCGGAAGTCTCTCTAAAATCGACATTATACCATAGATTTGCAAAATATTACTTTTGGGAGAAATTGTGCAAAGTGTATGAGACATTGCTTTGTCTTGTTTCCTACCTCTGCAGGTCAATCTACAATTATCTTAATAAAAAATTCCTACAAATAAAGGTATATATAAAAAAAAAAACAAACTCGCTGCCTTCGAGTTGGATCTGACTCATAGCAACCCCTCCTTGGGTTTCCAAGGCAATATCACTACAGAAGTAGATTGTCCAACCTTCTTTCCAAGGAGTGGTCAGTAGGTGCTGTTAAGAAAATAAAGAAGAGTATGGTAGTGATGGATGGGTGAGGGGTAGTTTGAACAGGGTGACAGGAAAGGCATGGGTCTTGAAGGATGAGAAAGATCAAGCCATGATATTAGAGGGAATGCTTACACTATATGTGGGTCTTACGGTGTGAAAGGGAATGGGTGCTACAAGGAGAAAAACCTGGCAAGGCTTGTTACTCAGCAACACAAAGGAGAAAGGGGTTTGAGACGTAATCAAAGCCATAGATAGGGCCAAACCATAATAAAGAATTGGTATTTTACTGTAGGTAGACTGGAGGGGGAAAAAAAGGTAAAATGGTACCGTGAGATTACCAACACACATCAATTACTTTACTGTCTTGCCTTGGCCAAACCAATATCCTTGGTGCCAGCTCCATCACTCCATCACATTGCCAAGAGCCTCAATAGATAAATTGCTAGCATTTAGAAAGGGATGGCAGCAGTGTGGAGTTCCTTCACCAGATTTGTGTGTGCTAAAGCTACAAGATATTATGGATGTTTCTGCCAAGAGGAGTCAAAACTTTCATTATATACATATTCAGTATCAAGCAAAGTGCTTTCAATGCTCAATTTTTGCCATAGTATTACATCAATATTTGAGATATTTTTCTTTCAAGATTTTATGTCAGTCATCCCATTGCTATCATGCCTGCTTCTACTGAGAAATCAGAGCTAAATCTTACTGGTTCCCCTTTGCAGGTAACATTTCATTTTTCCCAAGCTGCTCTCAGGACTTTCTCTTTCATTTTAGAAAGTTTGATTATATGTTTTGGTAATTTTCTTTTGGGATTTAACCTATTTGGGGTTTGTTGAGTTTCTTGGATGGCTATCTTCTTTTCTTCCATGATATTCCAGAAGTTTTCTGCCATCAAATTCTCAAAAATATTCTCTATGTTGTTTTTTTGGGGGGGAGGTGGAGTGGGGGTTTCTTTCTATTCTGGAATTTTGATCATGAATAAATTATTCCTCTTGATGGTGTCCCATATAATTCTTAGCCTTTCTTCATGTTTTGTTTCAGAGTGTTCCTCTAACAGATTGGTATCAAGGGATTTTTTTCTCTATTTTGCTGATTCTGACTTACAGTCATGCAATTCTACTCCTTTGTCCTTCCAATACATTATCTACTTCTGAAACTTTAGTGTTAATCTTCTAGACTTCTAGTTGCTGTTTTTGCATGATTTTTAATTGTCTATTTATTTTGTAATTTTGTTCCTGTATTCCTTTCTTAAATTTTCCAGAGATTTATCTATGTTTTCCTTGATTTCTTGGAGGTCCCTATATATAAGTCTTTTGAATTCCTTATCAGATTGTTCCATTACCATTTCTTCCTCAGGGAGGTTTCCTGGTTTTTTTTTTTTTTGGTCACTTGCTGGAGCCATCTTGTTCTGATTCTTTAGGTGATTTAATATTGTCTGTTGTTGCCAAGGCATTAGTGTGTTCCTATATCTATGAATTGATTTCTGTTTATTTGCTAAGTCCTGATACTTTGTTATATTGTGCTTTGATTTATGCTATGTGTGGGCAGGCACTCTGTTCACTAGTCTGGCTGCACTGGAGCACTCACCATCTGTCTCCCGGTGGGTGGTGTAGAAGCTGGGTATGTAAACACATATTCACTGGTCTTGCAGGGTTGCTGAGGATGGGATGAGTGGGCATTGGCAGCTGTCTGTCATTGGACCAGTGGCATAGGAGCACACAGTGACAGTTACCAGGTGGGTGGACTGGCAGGTGTGGTGGGTGTGACTAGCTAGTGGGGGTGTAGTCACTGCCTCCTGAGTAAGGTGAGGGGCGGGCAGGCGCTTGCACTGCTATTCTGCTGGTATCTCTCGCATGCTCAGTGTGTGTGGCTGCGGGGGAGGGGGGCGGCGGTGAGTGGAAAATCAACATGCTTATGCTCACCATTTCTTCCCAGCAGGGGGGAGGGGAAGGGGAGTGGTGAGTGATGGGCAGGGGAAGAGGGAAGGAAAGGTGGGCATGCATGTATTGCTGCCACTGCCTCCCTGCATCTTGCTGGTGAGGGAAGGGGAGAGAGGAAGCTCAGCAGAGTTAGCAGGCAGGAGGGTGGGGTGAGTGGCCAGCACTGTGCCAAAGCAGCCTGCTGCAGGTCGGCAAGATTGTTGGGTGCAAGGAGGGGTGACAGTGGGGGCGGGGAGAAGTCAGGGCTAGAAAAGGAAAGGATAGTTTTTGCACCTTGGTTCCCAACAGTCAGGGATGTAGGGACAGGGGATTTGTGCTAATCATGAGGAAGGTAAGAATAGGGGATGCATGTCCTGTGGTCACCAGGTAAGGATGCTTGGACTTTCCCCACTGGCTGCATCTAGCAATCAAGGCCTTATTTCACTCCAAGTATGTCTACATAATCACTCTATGTCCTGTTGGGAAGTATGTTAAGTTGCTTTCTATACTTCTCAACCGGGATTGCTGTTGCTTTTGCCTCAAGATGGTCACACTGGGCCGGGTTGGCTGTCAGGGCCTTCTGCTCCATCTCTTCCCATTCACTGTTTTCAGTAAATTTTTTCTTCTTAAGTAGTATTCTATATAGTTCTTTATCCTTTCATTTGATGCTCAGAGTTCTAGGACTGTGCTCTGTATTTGTTTTACTTAGTTTCTCAGGTCTTTGCTGTAGAAGGATGGAGTGGTGTGTTTGATTAAGCCACCAAACCACCAAACCAAACTCACTGCCATCAAGTTGGTTCTGACTCATAGCAACTCCCAGTGGGTTTCCATGGCGGTAAAGCTTTATGGAATTAGGTTGCCTCATCTTCCTTCTGCAGAGCAGCTGCTGGGGTTGAACCAACAACTTTCTGGTTAGCAGTCAAATGCCTTAGACACTGTACCACCAGAGCTCCTTTGACTAAGCCAACAGATTCTATTAATTATGAATTAGATTACATTACTTGAATTAAATCCTCGCATGAATGACAGGCAGACAATATAAATTTTAATTTTTTCATCCTAACTTTAGCTCCTAAATGTATAAATTCTGCTTGGGAAGTATAATTTTTATAGCTTGTTGTTCTGGTTACCTAGTGCTGCCTTGATAAGAATATACCACAAATGGGATGGACTTAACAAACAGGAGTTTATTCTCTTACAATTCAGGAGGCTAGATGTCTGAGTTCAAAGTGCTGGGCTCTAGGGGCTGGGTGAAAGCCCCTCAACCTAGGGCTTCAGCTCTGCCTCCTGCTCCTGGCCCACTGGAGCTAGAGGCATCTCTTCACTCAGGCAGCTACTGGCTGCTAAGGCTAACAAGCCCAAGGTCAACAAATAAAATGGCACAGTCCTGATGTTACCAAACCACACGGCAATCCATTAATTCAAGTCCATTTTAAGTCCCAAGGTCAGCAGAGCATGGCAGGCTGCTGAACAATGACACAGCTACATGCAGGGTCGAAGTGTGCCACAAGCTAGAGACTATCCCCAAGGCTTCTCCTCATATACAGGAAGCAGAGCATATCCCAAAGGCAGCTACTCAGCTGTTTGTGGTAGATCCCACCATGGAGTTGATTGCCAGTCTCATCATGTAGAATAACCATGACCATTCAACCAGGCCCAGCCAAGTTGACATACAAATTTAACTACCACACTTGTTTTAATAAATTTGGTTGTTTATAATAAAAAATGGTGAAATTTAGACATTTCAAACTATCTGGTCTGTATCTTTTCCATTTGTCAAGGCTAAAAACATGAATTTTCACTAATGTGATATTCTGGCCCACCTTCAAGCTTCCTCATGATTTCTCGAGGTATAACTATAAAGTACTTAAGTCTACCATATATGCTTTTGGGTAACTACTATTAAATTTTACCGATGCAGGGTGTGTGTGTGCATGTGTATTCTCTTCTTAATGTCCTAAAGCAACATAGGTAGAAAAATATACAATTAAGGCACACTTAATAGACATTTACAGGAAAAACATTAGTATCCAAATCACAGATGATACGAAAAATATTACCTTAATTATAATAGAACTATTCCAAGATTTTACAAGGTCAACAGCTCGTAGGTCTTGCCAACTTATGAAGTTGTGAAAATGATTTCCTGTTTCTCTAAAAGAAGATGGAAATAATATTTTTAAAATAATATAAATCAGAAACTGTATTATGATCTTCCACAAGGGAAAACAAAATTTTAGGCCAAATTGTCATTTCAAATAGTTGCCTTTTGATCTCACTGCAATCTTTAACCTCTGAAACTTTCTGATTTCTTCCTACTAACCCCTCCTATGCTTACTTACCTTCCTGGATCCCATAAGCTATCATTTTACTTACATTTTAACAAATAACTTGCCTTTATATTACCTACCCTTCAACTTTCAACCTAACCATCCACCCTGAAAACCACTTATCCCTGGATGGCTCTGACTCTCTATTCTCTTCACTCTCAATGCCAGTGAAAAGGGCTGGAGGAAAGTCATACAGCCTGTTAACTGATACCAACCCATATGCCCATATACATGGTATACAACTTTGCCTGCACACTCAAGGTCATTTAAAAAATAAAGCTCTTCTCTTGTACTTCACAATTAATTTCCCTCTCCATTCCCCACAATGGCAAATCCAAAGTTTTACCAGGCTTCTCAAGACCTATGTCACCTCTGGCCTCCTATGTCTTAAAAGGAGCTACGAGCAAAGAATGACATTCCTCAAGTCCCCACTCTTCTACTAGCTATACTGTGACTATCCAGTATCTGTCTCCTTTCATAAAAAACTTCTTCCTCTCCAAGTTCAAAGTTCTCATTTCCTCCTGTACTCTTCAGATCCATGCCTTCCTTTTTCTTTCATCACCTCATTTCACCAACTACTCCTTTTGCCTTCTACTCCAAACATACATAAATTTCTGTGTCTTTGAAGTAGAATCAACAACATCTCTCTTGATCCAGGATGTCCCCCACCAGTCTAACTTCTTTCCCAATGTTTCTTCTTCATCTCCCCTTGCCTTAGCCACATGCAATTTGAATTCAACTTAGATTCTAATCCATTCATGAAAGTCACATTCACTAGAGTGGTTACTGTCTTCCTGATCATTTAGGATTTGTGCCTTTCATATTTCACCCCTTAAATTTCAAAGTATTTACAATGCTTCAGGAATGCTCTTACATATCCTAGCTGTTACCAGTGATTTGCACAAATAACCAAAGCACTGCTGACGAACAACAACAAAGCAGGTCTTATACTCCCTGATCTCAAAACTCACTATATAGCCACAGTGGTCAAAAAAGCTGGTATTGGTACAATATCAGGAACATCCATCAGTGGAATAGAATTGAGAATCCAGAAACAGATCCATCTGCCTATGGACAGCTGATCTTTGACAAAAGGTTGAAACCCATTAACTGGCGGAAGAGGTAGTCTCTTTAACAAATGGTGCTGGCAAAACTGGATATGCATTTGGAGAAAAATGAAACAAGATCCATACCTCACATCATATACAGAAACAAACTCCAGATGGAGCTAAGACTTAAATGCAAAAACTAAAACTATAAAGTTCATAAAAAAAAAAAAATAGAGGTAAACATACCAAAAATAAACCTACTATCACTGAGTTGATTCTGACTCATAACAACCCCCTTTGGGTTTCTGAGGCAGTAAATCTTTTTCTTTTTAATTTTTATTGTGATTTGGGTCAAAGTTTATAGAGCAAATTCACTTTCCATACAGTAGCTTACATACACTTTGTCTCATAACACTGACTACAATTTACCATAATGCAACAGCTCCCCTCCCACTTCCTCCCCATAGTTACCTCTTCCCTGTGTCCTTCCCTCCCATGCACGCCTGCCCCAAGTGGTCTCCCTGTACATAGACAGCCCCTCGATTCTCCCATGATTGTTCTCCCCAAGAAGTGTATCTACCTCAGGTACATGTTCAACTCATATGCCTGTCTTTTGTTTGGCTGGAAGCCACAGGAGTGGGTTCAATTCCAGACATGAAGGGCAACTGGGGCCCATAGTCTCAGTGGTTCCATCAGGCTCTAGCATACCAGCAAACCTGGTCCCCACCCCACCCCTTTTTTTAATGATTTTGAGTTTTGTTCCACATTGTTCTCCCTCTCTATCCAGGATCTCCTACAGAAATCCCCCTCTGAGTGGTTGACAGTGATAGCCAGGCACCATCCACTTCTTCTGCTCTCATAGTCATATAGGCTGAGGATTGCATAGTGTACCAGTTACTTGGACTAATTGTTTCCATGAATCTTTGGTTTTCTTCATTCTTCTTTACTCTGGATGAGGAGAGACCAATTGTTGCATGTAGATTGCCGCTTGCAAGCTTTTAAGATCCCAGTCACTACTCCACAAAGTAGGATGTGGAACAATGTTTTTGTGTAGTATGTGATGCCAATTGAGCTTGATGTTCCCTACGACTATGGTCCCAAGCCCACAGGTTCAACTACTCGCTCCATCTGGGTAACTGACTGTGGCCAAGAAGTGACTACAACTTTGCCCTTGTCAGCTCTACTATCTACCTGGGAATTCTTACAGAACATACAAATACACTTGTAGAAACACTGTCTGCCAACCCTATACATGGTCTTGGGCACACTCCCGTCCTGCATAGATATACCTAATAATTCAGCCTGTCTACCCATCGATCCACCCATATATCACTGTTTGCCAAGGCAGTAAATCTTTACGGAAGTAGACTGCCTAATCTTCCTTCTGCAGAATAGCTGGTAGGTTTGAACCACCAACCTTCTGGTTAGCTGTCAAATGCCTTAGGCACTACAAATGCCTTAGGCACTACGCCACCAGAGCTCCTGGCCATTGTTGTTGTTGTTGCCACATGCCGTCAAGTCAGACCCGAGTCATAGCGACCCTTCCTTGGGTTTCCAAGGCTGCATCACTACAAAAGTAGATTGCCCGACCTGCCTTCCAAGGAGTGGCTGGTGGGTTTGAACCACCTGCCTTCTGGTTAGCAGTCAAGTGCGTTAGGCACTATGCTACCAGAGCTCCCTTCCTGGCCATTAGAGAGATGCAAATCAAAACAACAAGGAGATACCATCTCACCCAGCAATAATAGCCAAATTCAGTAAGACAGAAAACAGCAAATGCTGGTGAGAGTGTGGAAAGATTAGAACTCCCATACACTGCTGTTGGGACTGTGAAAAATGGTATGGTGCTTCCTTAAAAAGCTAGAAATAGAAATACCATTTGATCCAGGAACCCTCCTACTAGGTATATACCCTAAAGATGTAAGAGCCAGGACACAAATAGATATATGAACACCCATGTTCAATGCAGCACTATTCACAACAGCAAAAAGACAGAAACACCTTAAGTGCCCATCAATGGATGAATGGATAATCATACTATGATACAAACACACAACAGAATACTATACAACAGTAAATAATGAAGAATCCATGAAACACCTCATAACGTGGATGGACTTGGAGGACATTATGCTGAGTGAAATAAGTCAATCACAGAAGGACAAATATCTTATGAGTCAATTATTACAAAAAGTCAAGGAAAGATCTATACACAAAAGGAAACTTTCTTCATTGTTTAACCAAGGAATGAGAGGAAACAAGAGGGAAATTGACTAGGTAGGTAAGAGACATGTATTGATCTGGATGAAGGGAAAGCAATACACCAAAAGCTGGTGACCAGCACAATACTACTAAGGAGAAGGAAGAGACAGAGAAGTGAACAACATGTACAGACAAGAAAAGTACATACTATTACATACACAATACTGCATTATCAGTAATAACAAACATTAATCTATGGGTGGATATACAGGTATACAGGCAAAATGATCAGGTACGGGAATATACTCATCACCATATATAGGTTTTGCTGATGATATATCTATATATGTATTTGTATGTGCTATAAAAATGTCCATACATATAACAGAACAAACAGAGGGGACAAAGTTATGATAATTTCTTAGCCACATCAAACACCTTGAAGTGTGTGCTGGGCCTGTGGCCTTGGGACCATGGTCACAGGGTACATCAATGTGGTGTAGTAAATTACTTAGTGTGGCTTTTCTACCCATAAGTCTTTGTAAACTCCAAGGTGGGATTTTCGATGGGCAACTGAGGAACTCCTGATTGCTGAAGTTGTCCACCTGGAGTATTCCTGTTGGGAGTGGCACAAAACAATGTTCTGGGAGGTTCCCACTCCCTCTCACGTGCTTAGAGTTCTGATGCTATGATTGGCTAGTTTGGCCACTCTGCCAGGCTCAAAAGGAGGTCTCCTAGAGGCAAAACTCTCTCGGACTGCTGGTTGAGGAAGACGTGCTGCTGAAAGAGACACACGCTCCTGAGACACGCGTTGCTGGGAAAGAGATGCAAGAGACATGCATTGCTGAGTGAGACACCGAGGGACCAGCACTGCTGGGAAAGAGACTGTGAGAGACTGTTGGCTGAGGGACAGTGGGCTGGGAGAGAGACTGAGCATTTTTCCTGAACTTGAATTGTAGCCTGTGGTGCTTCCCTAATAAACCCCATAATCTGTGAGCTCTGTGTGGCCACTGCAGCGAATTATCGAACCCAGGAGAGGTGGTGGGTGCTTTGGAAGGAACGGTTGTTGAAAGGGCTGGAGGGAGGCAGCATGTCTGGCCTTGCAGTAATAGGCCTTGTGCTATTGATGGTGATTCTGCCTTCCTCTTGTGGGATTAGAAGAGGTCAGAACATGTGGCCTCCTTGCCGTTTTAGCAATCAAATTCAACTGGCATAATACAGAACACAATAACTGTTCTATATCTTACTTTGGTGAGTAGCGACTGGCATCTTAAAAGCTTAGGAGTGGCATCTAAGATGTAACTATTGGCCTCTCCTCATCTGGAACAAAGAAGAGTGAAGAATATCAAAGACACACAGAAATAATTAATCCAAAGAACTAGTGAACCATGGGAAACTCAGGGTACATGACCTTGAGACCAGAAGAATCAGACAGTACCTGGCTACCACTGCCAACTACTTGGAAAGGAATCAAAATTAGAGATCCTGGATGGAGTGGAGGAGCTCTGGTGGCGTACTGCCTAAGGCATTTGACTGCTAACCAGAAGGCTGGCAGTTCAAACCCACCAGCCACTCCTTGGAAGGAAGACTGGGCAAATCTACTTCCATAGAGATACAGTCTCAGAAACCCAAGGAGGGGTCGCTATGAGTCAGAACTGACTCAGCAGCAGTGAGTTTGTTATTTTTTTATTTTTATTTTTGGATAGATTGGGGAAAAATTTGGAACAAAACTCAAAATCATAATAAAGACCAGTTTTACAGTCTGACAGAAACTATGGCCCCTAGTCACCCTTGAGGCCTGGAATTGAACTCACTCCCAAGGCTTTACTTTCAGCCAAACAATAGACAGGTCTATGAGATGAACAATTACACCAGGGAGGTGCACTCCTCAGAACACCAACCACAGAAAAGCAGAAGGGCAACATTTGTACAGGGAGAAAGCTCAGAAGGCAGAACTGCATAGGAAAGGACACAGGGAAAAGGTAAGGACAGAGAGGAAGTAGGAAGAGAGCTGTTACATTGTGGGTATTGCATCAATGTCACAAAACAAAATATATACGAACTGTTGAATGGAAAATGCATTTGCTCTGTAAACTTTCACCCAAATCACAATAAAAAGTTAAGGGGGAAAAAAGAAAGGACAAGCATGATGTGTTAGAAGAAATGAAAGGCTAATGTGGCTGAAAAACAAAGAGAGGGAGAATATCATATGATGAAAGTGGCATCATTAATTCCTAACCTGATAAAAGGAAATCTGTATTACTGATCTCAAGTAGTAGTACACATTCCAACATTCACTTAGCATTGATTTAGATTTTATCTCTCTTAACAATAAAAGGAGATGTGGGAGAGAAGCAATACTGTAAATGACTTGTCTTGAACCCCTCTAACATTTTATACCATTCTTGTGGCTATTAATAGATTTAATGTCATAAATTAGTAAGCACCATGAACACAAGTATCAAATACTACAATAAAGGATGTATTTGGTGCTGTGGGAAGATTAATTTATATACTTGTATTATGAGACAGTAAATTCTTTGAAGGGTGGGACTGTTATTTGTTTTTATATCTAGTTCAGCAACCAGCATGCTGTCTCACTCTCTATAAGCCCTCAAACAGTTACAGAGTAAATCCCCATTCTGGTGACTCATAGTTACGCTGCTAATTGGCACACACTCTTGATCAGAGGTTAGTTGGCAGAGCCTCCCTGAGAGATAGAGTGACTGAAAAAACAAAACTGCTTATGATTTTTCAGAACAAAAAGAGACTTTTTAAAACAACCAAAATGAGGCAGTATCATTTAGTGTTACTTTGGAAAACAGACAAAATGCACCACTAATTAAATATACTGAAAAAAAAAAAATTAAACCTAAAAACATGAAGAAAACTTGAGGATTAAAAAGAGTTCATAAAAAGTGAGTTTCCTGAGGTCTGGGAAGGGTAAGGGAGGAAAGAACAAATACAAAAAGAAAGTTGAAAGTTTTAGACTTCCTGACAGTAACTATAAAAGAAATAACACTCCTATGGCCATGATGATAGAAACACACTGTGGACGCAGGAGAAAGGAAAAAACCAGTGAGCTGGGAAGAGGAGGTGCTGGCTGGGACTGGAAGGAACAGATCGTTCTACAGGGTCCGGTCTGTCTCTCTCTCAAAAGTAAGCGAGAAGTACTTCCTGCTGGCTCAGAGCTGTACCCGCTCCTGCACTGTGTCTCGGCTATTCATTGGGGAGCTTGGAGAACCTGCCAGCCTTATACAGCACAGAGGCTCACTGAGGCTCAGTGAGCAGAGGAAATCCCTATTATTTTAAAGTAAAAGATGCACAAAGAGTTGCATGTTTTTTCTGAAGATATCAAATATCTCAGTTTCTACAAGCAAAGAAGAGATTCCAAATGCATGAAAGAATACAACCATTCCAAAAAAAAAAAAAAACCTAAGCTCACAATCAGCTGTTTCAGAAAGAAATCGTATCCTTCTCTTGCAACACCATCAGCACCAGTAAGGGACTGAACTAACTTGGGATCTTAATTCCATTTCTCCTAGATGGGAGGTATGGCCCTAGCAGCCAACAAAAATTTTCCTTCCTAAGAATTGACCTTCCTGTGAGTAAGGAGTCCGTGGGTGGTGTAAATGGTTAACAACCAGGGCTGCTAAACGAAAGGTTGGCAATTCAAGTCCACCAGAAGAACCTTGACAGAAAGCCCTGGCAATCTACTTCCAAAAATTCAGCAATTGAAAACCCTATGGAGCACAGTTCTACTCTGACACACATGGGGTCACTATGAGTTGGGGTTGACTTGACAAAATAGCTTTTGTTTTCTTGTGATAAGGGATATGGCAGCTAGGTCCTGATGAAAGCAATCTGTATAGCCAATGACTTCATCTCCAAAGCCAACCAAATGTGAACTCCCATCAACACTTTACTGCCTCCACTTCCTTATCCACTTCCCAGATTAGCCATGGTCCTCCTTTGTCAGCTTTCTTCCATCCCTTAAAATTTGGGGAAAAACCTTAGAGGCTAATCCTTAGTTTTCCTTTCTTACCTTCACAGTACACAGCCACTTATCTAGGCTTCATCTATACCAGCAGCTTTCAACTAGGGGTGACTGTGATTCCAGGGGGCATTTGTCAATGTCTGGAAACACTTTTGGTTGTCACAACCAAGAGAAAGCTGAGATACTACTGATATCTGGTGGGTAGAAGCCAGGCTGTTGCTGTCCTATAATGCCCAGGACAGTCCTCCCAAAACAATTATCCTGCACAAATTTCAACAGTGCCACTCTTTAGAGACCTTGATCTACTTGTTGTTTTTGTTGTTACGTGCCATCGAGTCGGACCTGACTCATAACGACCCCTCCTTGGGTTTCCGAGGCGGTATCACTACGGAAGTAGATTGCCCAACCTTCTTTCCGAGGAGTGGCTGGTGGGTTTGAACCGCTAGCCTTCTGGTTAGCAACAAATGCCTTAGGCACTACACCACCAGAGCTCCCTTGATCTACTTGGATGACTTTATTTATTCTTTAATCTTACAGATATATTACTTATTTAAGACCTTGCCAGTCCAAGGGGACCAGGAGGGCGGATGCTTGCAGATCACAGCATCAACCTGAGATGCATTTGCCCTGAAAACAGCACCTGTCTAGAGGAGATGAGTCATGCCTCAGTCAATGTTCTAATCACTTTTGGAATAGCTCTACAGTCACATATCCAAAACTAAAAACTTCATGTCTTCTACTGCTGTGGTAGGAGCTCCGGTGGCACAGTGGTTAATGTGCTCAGCTGTTAACCAAAATGCTGGCAGTTTGAACCCATAGCTACTCCATAGGAGAAAAGACCTGGCAATCTGCTCCTGTAGATATTTCATTCTAAGAAACCCGATGGGGCAGTTCTCTGTGTCCTACAGAGTCACTATGAGTTGGAATTGACTCCACAGCACACAGCAACCACCACCTTTGTCATAATTAATCATGTGTCAATTTGGCTAGGCTATTGCACCATGTTTGGTCAAACACTAGTCTAGTTGTTGCTATGAAGGTATTTTGTAGATTACCGTTGATACTGTGGGTGGTTCTCATTCAATCAGTTGAAAGCCCTAAGATCAAAAACTGAGGTTTCCTGGGAAGGAAGGAATTCTGCTTCAAAACTGTAACACAGACATCCTGCAAGTTTCCAGTTTGCAGGCCTGCTCTATAGTTTCCAGACTGCTGGGCTGCCCAAAAATTTCAGACTTGCCAGCCTCTACTGTGCATTAGCCAACTGTTTAAAATAAATTATATGTATATATAGGAGCTCTGGTGGTGTAGTGCCTAAGGCATTTGACTGGTAACTAGAAGGCTGGTGGTTCAAACCCACCAGCCACTTCTTGGAAGGAAGATTGGGCAATCTACTTCCATAGAGACACTGCCTCAGAAACCAAGGAAGGGTCGCTATGAGTTGAATCAACTTGATGGCAGTGAGTTTTATACACACACACACACACACACACACACACAGTCGTACAGGGCCACTATAAGTCAGAATTGACTGAGTCTGGTTTGGTATATATACCTCCTGACTGATACAACCCCCACCCCCACCCCCCACTGCCCAACCCCTTCCTCCTCTTATATTCCCTGTAATTTCTATCATCTCTCCCAAACATCAACACCAAAAATATTGGTAATTTAAAATTTCTTCTTGTCTCACGCTGAATTAAAGGCAAGCCTGTATGAATTTATCCTGATTGTATTTCACAGATTCATCCCTACCCCTTCTACCCACCAATTTTTTTCTCCACTGCCCCAAGCTTTGGAGTCTTAGTGCTTTATAACAAAAATATATTTTACAGGCTTCTTTGTTATTTGAAAGCAAGAAACACATATTGAGGACAATAAGGGAGTAGTGGAAAGAGCATTATGTTTTGGAGTCAAAAAGATGGTTTGGAATCTTGGCTCTATTGAGTGACTTTGTGCAATTTATATATTTCTCTGAGCTTCAGTTTCTTTCTCTGTAAAAAGCAGATAGATATAATATCTAAGTAATGGGTATGATGTAAGGATAATGGAACAGTACCTAGAATATCACAGACGTTCACTACATGGTAGCTATAATGATACTGCAATTGTTTTTAATCTATACCTGTCTGAGGCTACAGATAATTAAATATTAAATTTGGAGTAAACTGAAAATACAAAGCATAATCATAGCACTATTCCTATAACTTATCAGTTCCCGATTCTTTTTACAGCTTCAATCCATACTTATTTGAAAAAGCTAACTTATCGGGGGTGGGGGGCGCGAAGAATTTAAATCACAATAGTCTTTTTATTATTTTTGTTTTAAAGTCAAGTCCAGATGACATGCAGAGAACATATTTTAATAAGCCAGAAAGTAGGCTCATTTTTATCCCTCTTAAGAAACAAAACTGTTCTTAATTGAAATTTTAAATTTCCCAAACAAGGTTCACAGCAGTGTATTCACCATGGCATGAACCCAGCAATAGAGTACTTAATTACATAATGCACTTACTTGTTCCACGTAATAAATGTTGCTCTCTGCGTTGAAATACCGAGACCAACAATTTGATTCATCTCTATTCCTGCAGCTAAAAGTAAAGACACATAAAACATGTTTTTAAAAGTCAGTGACATTGAGATATCTTTAAACCTTAAACCAAAATATCCCC